ATAACAGACCTTCCTCTGTAGGAAGCAGAAACTTAGAATCTTGTCTTGCACCAGCAATTGAACAAATCCAGTATTCAAAATGGCAAACATGCTCAAAACAAATTGTGTAGACAAAATTCACAGCAGCAAATCCTTTCAGACTCAGACAAAATCTTGTTAATTTTTCTGATCCAGACTTTGCAAAAATTCAAGTTATCTCCAAGAATCCATCAAGGATACCAGCAATTACCAGTTACTGCTTAAGGGTACTCTGCACTTAACACCCAGGCATACATTTGCTAATTTAAACACCACTGCTCCACAATTGGCTGGCAAAATGCATCAGGCAAAGAGCAGGAAGTAGCCAAAGACAAAGCAACATACCACTGAAGAACCATTATTGCCTTTAGAAATGCTAATGAGACAGCAGAGATTACAAAAAGAAAGAAAAAAAAAGTTCCAAAGTCCTAGCAACAAGAACCTCTGAATTTTACAAGAGCCCGCCAAGTAGCCTCAGACGCCATCTTTGATCTGGCCACATGGTCCAATGTACTGCCTAATCTTTTGAGTAAAACTGTCACAGAAAAAATTTCCACAAATTAAAATCTCTTAGCAAGTCACTACAAACAAATTACACACAAACACACAGAATCTTCACAAAGCCCAAGCCAGTTTTTAACAGCAAATCGACTATGAAACAAACACACTGGAGAAACCAAAAATCACATTTGCGCTTATGGTAGCCAGTGCCATAGGGAAGCCCAATTTCCCCATGGGGCTGACTAACCACGGATGGCTCTGTCCTAAATCTTCGTGGTCGCCAAATCTGTTATAGGACAGGGAGAGGGGCAGCCCAAACCCCACAAACCTGCCTGTTCTACATGGGTTCTGCCATCCGCCGCATCAACACAAAACATATGAGACTTTAATGGGAAGGAACTTTAATAAAACTAGGAAACAATACAGGAAAAGCAAATAATCTAGTTTCTAAATGAAACACCCAAAGTTACCCATCCCCTCGTGGGTAAAAGTCCATCCAAATGGGATTGGCCCAGAACAAGGCCCCAAAGCCTGCCAAAAGTCTACAGCATCTTCCAGTGGGGACCCACAGAAAAGGGTCACAAACAACCAGACAAGCCCGGAAGGAAAAGAGCAAAATCAACATCAAGATAAAAGCTGCCATGGTCACCTCCCCACGGGTCTCACCCACATCTGTGTCACCCAGTCCACGACCAAAAGACAAGCGCAGTTTCTTCACGTGTCTCTAGGCTCCATGCGCCTCCTCCAGGTCTCCTGGCTCCATCCTGCTTCCTTCCTCAGTCTCTTCTGCAGCTTCTCCTCTTCCTGCTCAGCTCCACCCTCCCTTGGGTGGGGCAGGGAACCTCCCACTTTCCTGGGGACCACCCTGTTGCAGAAAGAACGAGCATAGAAAGAGTTTATTAGTGGGAACTCACCGCTGTAAGTCACAGCAGAAGAAAAAGCTGGAGGGTGGAAGACAAGGGCTGCGTGCTTTTATTCACACGTGGAATATAGAGAAACGAGGAACTATCAGAACTAAACCAAAAGGATGTCTAGGGGTGACTCCAGAATTGAGGCCACTAGAAGAGGGGGTGGGCAGGGACAAAATGGGGAGGGGTCCCCGGGGTATAGATGAAGGGATAGAGTGCTCTGGGTGGGTGGGTTTGTTGGGGCCCAGGGGTGTTCAGGGACCCTGAGGTTCTTGACTTCTAAGCAGGAAAGACTTCATGTGTGAGTCAGTAGCTGAGTTAGAAATGAAACTTTATTTTTTTAAGAAGACTTATTTTATTTATTATGCACACAAGAACTGGAGTGCAAGCCAGAGGTGCGGGGAGGTGAGAAGATTCACTAGAGACAGAGTGGGGAACAGAGCAGTTGGATCTACTGAAATACACTGCTGAGGGGAGCAGCTGGTGAGTCAGGAGAGGTCTGCTGCACCATGTGGGCTGCTTCCTGGCGGCCTGGGGAATCGAACTCGTGCTGCAGAGGCTGTGGACAGCTTCATAGGTTGTGTCTTAACTCATTGCACCACCAGGGAGGTCCCCAAAATGAAGCTTTATTGTAGATGAAAGTACACACTCAAGAGGGAGGGTGGGCAGATTCAGGGGAGAATCCTCCTTGGTTTTCAGGCCCTTGATACAAATACTTGCTTAGTTTTAGTTTGAGGGGAGGGCTTATGGGGAGGGGGATCCTGAATTGGGTTCCTACAACTTTTGCTTAACAAAAGGGGCAGAAATTTACAGGGTGGGGTAAGGAGATGTGGCCATTTTGTTTAACAAAAGCCACCTGACCCTAACCTCCAGTTGATTAGGTAAGACAGGAGTTTTACAACTAGTGGCTCCAGGCGTGAGATAAGCCCATAGGACTTGAAGGGAACTAGTAGGCTTGAGTGACTTTGTGCTGAAATGTGCTGAATTCCTGTAATACCTCAGGGTGAGGTGATGTGCGTCTGAGGAGGGTGGGCCTATTCCTCTGGAACTTGCACAGTGATGTGAATCAATGTTACCCCAAACGATATTTTGATAAATAAAAAAATAACAAATATCCTTCTTTCAACAAAGAGCAAAACAAAAAGAACTTAGCTAACTCACCCAAAACAGAAAGTTGTTAGAAAGACTTTGAGGAAGTTAACACTTGCTTAGATACAAGCGGGCAGGAAGAGCTGCCCCTTACTGGGGGCAGCATGAAGTTTTACCCTCTTCTTTTGGTGGGAAGGGGCTCATCTTTGTGAGTGGTCAGAGTGTTAGATTTTTGCCAATTTTGGACAACTATGCAAAACCAGGAAGGGACCAGAGATTCCAGGGTGGGGCGCAGGCATTCCAGGGTGGGCCCAATCTCCTATCTCAGGCTTGTGCGTCACTCCCTATAGCAGTCTGATCCTGCTCGGGTCTTCTGCCTTGTGAAAGGTACTGTTAGGGGAAAAGGCTGTCCTAAAGCTAATTCCTTACAGGCTTTGTGGACTCCACCCCCACCCCAGGCCAAAGCCAAAGACACTGGGGACTCCAAATCCCATCACCTCCCAAGGGAAGGTGACTGGGACCTGAGGGTGGGGTTAAGCAGCCAGGTTGGTATAAAGCCAGACACGTGGGCTTTGGAGGGGTCCCCCATTTTGGCTCTCCACCAGCTCGCAGCGTCTGGCCAGCTTGGAGAGTGCTTTTTGGGTTTCCAGTTCGGCGGATCGGGTAGGGCGCATTAAAGACTTTATTTCCCTATTTTCTCCCTGAGTTGTCCATTTTCCTTATTTCCTTTTCCCTTGTAAATAAACCTTTTATTAACCTTTTGTGTGTGCCTGTAGTGGAGTATTAATAAGTCCCTTTTAAGCGCGTGGGTGAGGACCCACAGCCAGGCAACCCGTTCAATATCGGGGCTGCCCTATAACAGTACAAGTACCAAAGGATCATGACCTCTAACGTTAGGTTAATGGTCATGTTGCTTCCCTCTACCCTCACCTCCTTGTGAGTCAGGTTCTGGTCTTGGGGTACCTCCTTTCCAGTCTTGCTATTCTTCTCCTCCATCATTGACACAGTGATGATGGTGACGAGTGGAGATGCTGTGTATTTTGGGGGGGGAAAAGGGTATTCTGAACAAGCTGCACAAATAGGTTTTTGTTTTTAAAGATTTATTTATTTTTATTTTTGTACAAGAGCTGGGGTACAGGCCAGAGGCGCGAGAGGGTGAGAGGATTCACCAGAGACAGAGTGGGGAGCAGAACAGAAGGATCTACTGAGATACACTGCTAAGGGGAACAGCAGGGAGACATGTGGGAATCTCCCTGGCCGGCCCGGGAATCAAACCCGCGCTGCAGGGGCTGCAGACAGCTGCACAGTGCTGCACTCAACTCGCTGCACCACCAGGGAGGTCCCACAAATAGGTTTTAAGGACCCCACCCCACTACAAATATAAAGTCATCACCACGGAAGGGAGGGCTGCTGGCAACTGAGGGTGGAGTTAAGCAGCCAGGTTTGTTCTATAATCAAACCTGTGGGCCTTGGGAGTCTTTAGTTTTTTGCGGACTTTCAGCGTGCTTTTGGGGTTCCAGATCAGCGAAACTGGTAGGACGCATGCACCAATTTAGCTCTTTTTCCCCCTGAGTTTTTCATTTCTTCATTTCCCCTTTTTGTAAATAAACCCTTAATACCCTTTTTGTGTGTACTGCAGTTAAGTCTCATTCTAAGTCCCCTTTAAGCGTGCAGGTGGGGACCCCCAGTCAGGCCACATTTTACACTGGGGTTGCCCTGGAACATCTTGATGATGTGAACTCCTCCTGATAGTCGGAAAGGAGGGGCAGCTGCCCCCAGAGGCACTTGTTTTGGGGAAGCTGAAAACAGACAAGGCAAAGGCAAGGACAGATGAAACCTGCTGCCTGGAGGGGCCCCCCTAAATCAAAATTAACAGGCAGTCCTGATAGATGCCCCTGAAAATTGAATAAATACAGGCACCGAAGTTGAGACATTGGAGGTGCTCTGATCTCCAGGTCCTTGCTCCAGCAGCTTCTCCAGACTTTGGAAGAGTGGCCTGGACACCTGCCCCAGAAGGGGCCCCCCTCCTCCCTGTGGGGGAGGGGTCCTGATGCTCTCCAGACTAGTCCTGCCCACCTGAGTGCCACTCTTCTGGAATTTTGCCAAGGGATTCATTACCTTCCCCCCCTTTTATCTTTCAATTAAATTGTAGTCCTATATTTATTGCAACAGATGTCCCCCAGTAAAATTCATATTGTGGTTACATGCATTTGACTCGAGTCAAAAGTGACATTTTTCTCTTTGCAGAAGCCAGCACTGTAGAGATCATGAACCCAATAAAACATCAACCCAGAGCTGTGAACCCCCAGCTGTTCCCTCTCTGACAGCAAATGTCTTATGAGTTGAACCTCCACCACCTGCTGATCCCCTCTACCATGAACTCCAGGAAGACCTGGCTTTTCTGCTTTGGGACACAGCAAAACTGCGGCCCAACAGGATATCCAGTGCAGAAATTCTCTCAAAGAATTTCTCAAAGAAAATTTAAGTAATCCACGTCCATCCCATCCCATCCCATCCCATCCCACCTTGCCATTCCCCAGACCTCTTTGAAAACAAATCCAAAACCCACCTTGAAAAAGGTTTCTACCTAACATAAAACCAGCTCATCCTGGTATACCTGAAGATTTCCTGCTCCTCAACTGAGCCAATAAAACATCTCCCCTTCATTGATGCTACAGGTGAGAAAATTAGTTAAACTATCTATAATTATTCATAGAGAAGAAATGTGTGAATTACCGTTTGGTCTCATTGATATTTTTATATTTTTCATAGAAGGTATACATTTTGTAATTACAAGTAGGAAAACATTTGAAATCCTAAAAGCAAGTCAGCAGCAGAATATTCTGCTGCATTGGAGAGGCACTGACAATGCTTCCTTTTTTTTTTACTTTTGGCTCTGTAGTAATCCTTTCCTGGATATAGTGCAAACCACAGACTAATCATGAAGTCAGAAGACAGATACCAATGAACATGCAATCTGGGTGCAAAGAGACAAAAATTAGGGAAGTTAGTTAAAATACATGACACAATAAGGAAGGAAATTCTGGGCAAGAGCCCTAGTCACCTTCTGTGCTAAAGGACTGGACAATTCTGAGCAGACACAGCAGCCCATCCTTTGCATGTCCACTTTGCCTTTTTCCAGCCCTGGGGGGGTTGGCAGTTGGGGGGTGTTCCGTGCGGTGACCCAAAATTACATAGGGGTCCTATATGTGTGTGTGTAGGGTTTTGATAGTGTTTTTTTTTTTTTTTTAAAGATAATGCATACAAGAACTGGGGTGCAGGCCAGAGGTGTGGGGGTGAGAGAATTCACCAGAGACAGAGTGGGGAACAGAACAGGTAGATTGACTGAAACACACTGCAGAGGGGAGCAGCGGGAGAGTCAGGAGAGGTCTGCTGCGCCGTGTGGGTCACCTCCCTGCCTGGGAATCGAACTTGTGCTGTAGTGGTTGTTGATATCTTCATAGTGCTGCATGTTAACCCCTCCGCCACCAGGGAGGCCCCGAGTTTTGATAGTGTTTTAATGGTCCTGTTAACTTTCACTTTATTTTAAAAAAACACTTTATTCACATATTGAACACTTGAAATAAGGGCAGCTCAACCCTACCGTACAATTACTCAATCATGTCCTTCCCCACTCTGCATTATGATTATCAGCCAATACTATTCTTGATTTCTTTATGGGGTGCTATGCGATGTAAAATCATAAAAAGATAGTTATATCCCTAACAGGTAATTCCAGTCCCTACTCAAGTCCTATACAAGTGGCTCCAATTGTTTTATTATCAAAACAAATCTTTTTAAACACAAGGTGGTTTAAGAATAAATCAAAATAACTGAGAGCCGGAAACCAAACTCCAGCTCTACCTGTGTAAACGGCGAGGACCATTTGCCTCTCTCTGCTTAAACTTTTTCCATTCAAAATAGAAGCAGAAATCGTTCACACTGGAAATTCTTATTCCATATGTAACTGTAATGTGCTGAATTTGTCCCCCCAAAGTCATATATGGAGGTCCTAAATTCATCCCATATGTTCATCCCCACACCTCAGAATGTGACTGTATTTGGAGATAAGGTTTTAGAGAGGTAATTCAGTTAAAATGAGGCCATTAAGATGCATCTAATCCAATCTGACTGATGTTATTATATATAAGAAGATGAAATCTGGGCACAGGAGGAGGCACCAGGGATGAGAGTGCACAGGGAGTAGATCAGGGGAGGACACAGCATGAAGGGAGCCAGTGAGAGGAAAAGAAGCTCACCCTGCCGTCACCTTGAACTTGGACGGGCAGCCTCTGGAACTATGAAAAAATACCCTTCTGTGTTCTTGCTGGCTAAGCCCTTTGTGTGAGGTCCTCTCTCATGGCCCGCCACCCAATGCATAGCACCAATTCAAGGAAGCAACACAATTATTAGTAGAATTGCCATTTGGCTTCACTGATGTTTTAAATATTTTTCATAGATGAGTATACATTTTGTAAAATGAGGACAACAAATTTGAAAACCAAAAAGCAAGTTAACAGTAGAATACTCCTGCTGCATTACCAAGGCATGAAGAGCACCTGCTCACTAACCAGATAGTTGATGACAATTCATTATTGTGATTTAATTATTAGTCATTTGTGATTTGCTAGAATAATGAGTGGTATTTGTGAATCAAAATACCATTTGTTTCTTGACCTCTGTAAGCCCCCATTCTGGAAGCAAAGGTCCAAGAACTGATGTTGTGTATGGCCAGTGTCCAGTTAGTCCAGAGAGATCCTGAATACCTCAGCAATATAATCCTGATAAGTGGCTGCAGCAAAGTTAGATATATGTCCTTCTGATTTTGTTTATCAAAATCTGTCCTCAAGGTTACGGGGTCTGAGAATTAGCCAAGGAGTCACAGCATTTTTATTCAAATTGGGTCTCTGTTCTCCAAACCAACTTTCTAGTTGGTTTTCAATTACAAAAACCATAGACAAGGGGATTTGCCCGTTCAGAAGCTAGACTAGGTGTATTTATCTCTGTTTTTTTCATTAAGTACAACAAAAAATCCTGGACTTTACTTATAAAGAAGAGCTAGAGCAAGTCCACAAAGAGAGTTGGAGGTTTCAACCCCTTTCTGTCAACAATGGATGAAATAACTAGAGAAATAATCAGCAAGTTCTATAAAAGAATTCAATATACCATCAACCAATAGGATCTAATTGACATTTGTAGAACATTTCACTGACAATAGTAGATTAGACATTTTTAATTGAGACATATATGAAGATAGGTCATACACTAGACTATAAACCTCAACAAATTTAAAAGGACCAAAATTATATAAACAATGCCAGGAAGACAGAGGCAGCTGATTAGCTTAGAAGGTCAGAGACATCCTCAGGGAGAGGCTGGACACATTATAGATCCACCAGGGGAACTCTTGTGTCCTAAAGTCTTCAAATTATTTCTTTTATCTTCTGTAATAGAACTTCTGTGCAGGTTATAAGCAGTCTCTGATGCTGGAAATGAGAACTAAAGTGGTAGCTGTTGTTTCTGTTATCACTATTGTTGTTATTATTATTAATTATTATTGCCATCACCTTCATAATCATTATCCTGATTTAAGTTATCACTATTCATCCTACATAGAATAGGTCGGTATTTAATAAAAACATCACACCTGGGTATATGCACAAATGATTTCTTTTTCATCATATGTGCTTTTACAGACAGGGTGGAATAATCTTTCATCCAAAATCCCTGCTCGCATGTGCTTTGGAGTTCAGAACTTGTGGGGTTCTAGGCAAGTTATGCAGTCAGCAAATTTGGGGGCAGCACCAGCAATCAGTTAACATTCAACTCTGTCAAGGGTGCCCTGGATGCCCCCGCCCCTCAGGTTTGGTGATTTGCTAGAAGGACTCACAGGACTCAGCATGTAGTTGTGGTCATGGTTGAGATTTACTTTTTTTTTTTAAGGATTTATTTATTGGGCCTCCCCAGTGGTGCAGCGTTTGAACGCTGGGCTGCAAAGCTGCCCGCAGCCTTTGCAGCACTGGTTCGATCCCCGGCCACCAGCGAGGGTCCCACATGGCACGCAGACCCCTCTTGCCATGCCTGCTGCTCCCCTCAGCAGTGTATTTCGTCACTCTGCCCATTCTGTTCCCCACTCTGGCTCTGGTAAATTCTCCCACCCTCCAGCGCTTCTGACTATACACAGTGCTTGTATAAATAAATAAATAAATCTTTAAAAAAAATTTATTTATTTATGCATGCAAGGGCTGGGGTACAGGCCAGAGGTGGGAGGGCTGAGAGGATTCATCAGAGACAGAATGGGGAGCGGAACAGGCAGATGTACTGAAATACACTGCTGAGGGGAGCAGCAGGCGAGTCAGGAGAGGTCTGCTGTACCATGTGGGTCAGCTCCCTGGCCGAGGATTGAACTCCTGCTATAGTGGCTGCAGACAGCTTCATAGTGCTGAGACTTAACCCCTTGCACCACCAGGGAGCCCCCCACAGCTGAGATTTCTGACAACAAAAGGACTCTGAGCAGAATTAGCAAAAAAGACCCAGGGGTCAAAGTCCAGAGGAAACAGAGCCCAGCACCGCACCGCCCCCAGGGGCTTCACCCAGGCTGGTCTCTCCAGCCACCAATTGTGACCATGTGAGTAAAATGCTGAGAAGCTCACTGGAGACTCCTGGAGCTAGGGGGACCTGCTCATATCCTCTCCCTGCCTAGCTCGCGCCAACATTTGAGCCTCCCAGAAGGAAAATGGGTATCAGTCAGCATGGGTCGAATTGTCTGTGAGCAGCTCAGACCCTTGATATTAGGAATGGGGGGGGTTGGTCCTGAATGCCACGCGCCCCTGGCCAGCCAAGAGCCAGCTTTGCAAGTAGACCTGTCTAAGGGGCATCTCAGGCCTGCTGAACCAACTGTTCAACCTTCTCTAGCAAAATCTGAGACTGATTGTGCTAAGAGGGATAGACATTATTTGGCTTCATGCCATTTTCCGTCTAGGTCTTGCCACCAAAACTACCAAATTGACTCACGTTAGGTGGGTGCTGCTGTGCAGTTTTTCATGTAATTCTGGTTCAGAGCTTTTTGGACTTTGGAACTGCAGATAAAGGATTGGAGTTCTATTTTGTTGTCTTTCTCTCACTTCTGCTCTTCCTTCTTACCTTTAACTTTGCTCAGCTTTTTCATGAAATAGAATGTTTAGCAGTAGCACAAAGTCAGGAGGTGAGAAACAGGAGCACAATTTCTGGACTTTACACCACACATAAAGGGTGACATCCCTTGAAAGCACACGGGGATGTTTTCAAGGCAATCCCTAAAGTCACGGCTTAAATAGAAAATCAAATATTGCCACTAGTGAGTCAAAAAAGAGGACAAAAGAGAATCGCAAAGACATGTTCAATTAATTCCAGGGAACGCAGAAAAAGGGAACAAAGAGCAGATGGGACTAATAGAAAATAAATAACAAATGATCCAGTAAAGCCTAATCTTTTCCCTTATTGCCCTCAGTATAAATAGCCCGATATTCCAGTCAGGAAACAAAGTGGATATAAAAGCTAGCCCTGCCTGTATGATGCCTGGGGCAAATGACTATCAAAAAGACACAGATGAAAAAGGATGCAAAGTGTCTATTATACTAGCACTTAGTAAAAGTGGATAGATGTATTATCACCCCACAAAGTAGTATGTTAATATTCA